GAAAATTCATTGTTGGCGTGTTAATCACATGAAGAAAAACACGTGTATCATGTGCTGATCCTTCCCACCCAACAGACAAAAATGTAAAACACATATCAAAGTCACACACAGCCATGACATTGAAAGTGGGGATGTCTTTTCTCCCTCTATAACGCAATTGATCAGCCTCGGGAATACATGCTGCCACATGAGTACCATCAATGCATCCAATACAATCCTATAATTTAAACTTCATCATTATAATAATGGTACGTATCAAAATTTATAAATTAAGTATCAATTACAATAATTTTTACCTTAAAATAAGGCATGTATCTTGTATCATTGGCGATTTGAGGTGGTATGAATTGAAAGTTTCGATCCTTTGGTTGTATAACATCCCGTGCAAGACCCATATAACCTTTATTTCTACCACAAATCGCTTCTAAAACTTGGGTAATGGTTCTACTAATAGTCTCACCAGAACGTTGAAATCGCTCACCAACATCTCTATTAGAGAGACCCAACGCAATAGTATAAACAAATATACCCACTTTTTCAACCACTGTCATGTTCCTACTAGGTGTTAATCCATATTTGGATTGTAACTCTTCACATAGTAGCAAAAATACTCTTGATTCCATTCTAAAGGCATTCACACATCGAATAGGATGTCCATTTAGAATTTCTCTCATCCAATCTTCCCCTCTTTGATGTGAAGTCATGCATGGTTCTTTGTAAATGTATTTGTAGTAATATGTAGCTATAGCACTTGTTGTACATGCAGTTATAAGCCAAAATATTCTCTGCTTTTTCTTCCTCCTTTTCTTCATATCCATAATACACCTAAACAATGATTAGTTTAAAAAATGAAGATAAGTCTAAACAAGGTAAAATGCAAATTAAACACAACCACAAAGTTTAACAGTTCATACAACCATAAGATTAAGAATTCATGCAACCAAATTAAACACAACTTCAACACTTAATAAAACACAAACAATGGCTGAAATATCTAAAATTACCACACCTAATTAAACAAATAAATAATAGTTCAAATGTTTACTTGTCCTTCATATCATACATAAACTTTAACCAAGCCAACCTAGAAGCATCATCCTCCATAGCAAAGAAAAAATCCCTTCTCATAGCATCCTCAAGTAAATAAACAGCATAACACCACAAAGCACTACCATTTTCCAACCCATCCATATTTTTAAGAACATTCATCACCATTACAGCACAATTCACTGGTGTTTGAGTATTTGTCACGCTATCAGGAGCACTACAATCTGACTCAAGTGCTTGGGCTGCATGACCACAAAATGCAACCATGTTTTCAAGATGATGATTCATCATTGCTGATCCCGTAGATTGTCTCCTTTTACGCTTCATTGGCACAGAATTCACTGTTTTTGTGGCAGTTTTTTGTGGTTCTTTAGAAGTCCTCCTATCACTAGTTGGTACTTGGGTAACACCTTGGCTTTGGTTAGGTTGTTGATTATCAGCATTAAGCACTTCATTTGAAAACTCATGCCAAAAAGTACCCTCACTTCTTTCTAGGTTTTCCAAGCGAGATGAGTATTGACTATATTCTGAGTAAACATGATCTTGAGAATCCTCATACTCACCAAGTACTCTCTCTTCACTATTGGTTTCCTCTTCTTCAACACCTGCTTGAACCCTCTCAACATTTCCAGATTGTACATCATTCACAACCACACTTGAAGGATTCATGCCGGGAGTAACGCATTCTAACCCGTTAGCTACTACATCCGAGTATAGCTGATCCCATAGCTCTTCAATGGCGCATGGTACCCCTTTGTTACGAAATTTTTTAGCTTCAGGTTTTTCCTACACAATATCATAAAATATTAAATCAAACAAAATATTAACTTTTCTTTAATTTACCAATTATGACTATGTGAGAAAACAACTAACCTTGATTTTTATCTCCCACCACTCATTGGAACAATCAAGCTTTCCAGTTATGTAATCCCAACCTAGGCCAGTTTCAGATTGCTTCAAACCTTTCCAAATTCTCCAATCTCTCTTCATTTGATCATACTTGTTTTTTAACTTTTAATAATTTGTTACACTTTCCGAGTAGGTTCTAGTGCTCAAAGTACTATTTTCAGATGTCTCTCCATTTGAATAGTTGATTCGCCATTCTTAGAACGAATGCCAAACATAGCTCCAATAATACAATCATGAAATCATTTGTCCAGTTAAATGTCTTTCCTCCGCATCATCAGTACCTTTGTTTTTCTGATTGTCCACATTATCATTACTTGATTCCATCTATAATATTAGAAAAACACACATGAATAAAAATACATGAGTGGAGATGAATTCTGTAGTAGCGAACAATGACATAAGACAATCAAAGCTGGCATATTTAGCATAGGATACAAATAATAATTACGTTTACTGTAATGTCAGTTTACACAACAAGATTGTCTCCCATTAGCGCATGAAAATGTTCTCGAATGGCTTGAATATAATGCTTTATTTCACAAAAACAGGACTCGCCTAGTGCAGGAAACTGGTGGATATGATATTACTATGCTACATGGATTAGGACCATGGCACGTATTAATAAATGTTCACCTTACATTTTTGTTGGTAATGTTTTCTTGCCTGCAATAATACTACGGAAGCCTTCTTCCTTATAGAGTCTGCTGGTGTGAACTGCTTTCAGAAACGCACTGTACTTGCACAAGCTATGGAAACGATGGACAATATCGTATGAACAATTTCTATTTTTCTATAGAACAGAAATTACATGGAGCAGACGTGTTCAGTGCCTGAAATACACACTTGCTCCAATTAACACAAGAATTTATGAAGATAGATGATTTATATACTACAAAGAATAAGTTAAGTTTATAATTATGTAGCATCAATTGTTATAATTTTTCGGTTAAGGCGGCATGCATAGTATTTATCTGCATTAGGAAGGTTCCTCTATTAATATCCGACTACCAACAAAATAGATATATGGGGACGGTTATTTGGGGACGGTTCAAAACCGTCCCCTTTGCCTCCTAAGGGAACGGTTGTGTGACGGTTACAATCGTCACGAAAAAATCTAAGGCAACAGTCCAAAATAAAGTGTTGGCCTTGAATTAGGCTTTTTAAAAAAAAATTTAGTAGGCTAAAGGGACGGTTTTGTAAAGGACTCGCGCCCAAACTTTTTTAACAAAATTTATTTTCTCTCAGAACCGCCTGACCCGATAACTAAAAATTTTCTTCACCCGATAGTTAGGGTTTCTCATCTTCCTCTCCTCTCGTCGAATCCTCTCCTCTCGTCGACTCCCCCGTGCGCCGTCCGTCACTTATCTCCTCTCGTCGACTCCCCCATCCGCCGCTCTCTTTTTTCCTCTCGTCGACGCCTCCGTTCACCGCCGGCCACCTTCACTTCGTCAGTTCGCCACGCCTCCCCCGTTAGCCGTGCCTCTCGTCGCTATCCCCTCTCTATCATGTTGTGATTTGGGGTATATCTTTCTCCTTTTCAGTCATGGGTTTCAATTTTTTTCCTTTTTCTCTATTTAATGAAAATTTTATTTGATTTTACAAATTAGGGCTTTGTTGTTTTGGTTGATCATTGAAAGTGGTTGAAAATTCTACCAGAAAATTCAATATTGCCTAAATGAAGAATACCAGCCACAACCCGAAAAATAGCATCCTGAAAAAACACAAAAGAATAGAAGTAAGAACAAAGAGGTAAGGGCTCAATAGGTCAGAAGTAAAGTGCAAAGGGTCTTTAATCCCCAATAGAACCACGAAAAGATACATGCCTGTTCATCACAACTGATTCCATCATTTCCTCATGGTAATTTAACAGAGATGGAGAGACTAGTAATGCAGGAAAAGGCAAGAGAAACAATAACACATGACAAACTAAGATTAATCTGAACCTCTGAGACATTGTAAGGTAATGGGGAAAAAATTATAATGCAATAAAAGAAAGTAAGGAATGGAGATGAGTACCGTATCTTTTCCTCCACTTCTCAAAGTATGCGAACACTGTCAGACCATAGTCATGTGTTATTGTTTCTCTTGCCTTTTCCTGCATTACTAGTCTCTCCATCTCTGTTAAATTACCATGAGGAAATGATCGTGGTGGCCCTTCTATTCCTTGCCGCCTTAGCTTATTACAAATTCCTTGCGGTTGCAACCACATGACATTATAAAAGTACAACACCACACTACAAAACCCTATCGAACATAGAGAGAGCAAGACCTCCATGAATATCTCCATTCTCTTGGTCTCCCCCTCTCCTCTTCCTTCATGTTTTAGTCCTTGCTGAAGTGACTTATATATCATTGTTGGTATTCTATTTTAGTTATGTAGCTTAGAATATGGCCTTCACTCAGCGGCTAAGTCAAAACAGCACCTGTGACTTGGCTTCTCAAAAATAGCAAATGCTCTTGAGAATGACTTCGTCACTATCTTATTTTAGAAATAGTCACATGTCTTGTTAAGCTTAACTTTGATAGTTTTCAGATGCTTTGGGTAGTTGGTTTGCTTAGTTTCACATTAAAGGTTTTGCTTTTCTCCAATGCCCTTGGTTTGGTCCATCCAAATTTTGTCTATGTCTATGTCATGTTGCAGTACACTTAACTCTATAATGATAAGTTTCAGTTCTCTAAACAAAATATGAAACTAATAAATATTCATTTTTAGATATAAACATGTTTTAGTTTATGTATACTACAATTAAACAAATAATTATGCTTTAGAGAGACTAGTCCTATAAAATAACTTGCAAACTCTATAGTGATAAGTTTCAGTTCTCTAAACAAAATATGAAACTAATAAATATTTATTTATTTTAGATATAAACATATTTTAGTTTATGTATGCTACTCTTAAACAAATAGTTATGCTTGAGAGAGACTAGTCTTATAAAATAGCATGCAAACTCTTTAGTTGATGAATTTTTATACATTATAAGTAAGTAGATATATATTATTGATGTCTTAATATATTTACTTTTCTCTAGCAGATACAAATTATGGATAGAGATAGAGGTTGGATGTATAATACTTCTCGCGTAAGTGCCGAGTACATTGAAAAAGTGAATGACTTTCTTGATAAAGCATTTGCAAAAGCAGCTAAAGGGAATGAAATATGTTGTCCTTGTCGTGGTTGTTTTAATCGTTGTTGGCATCAGCGAAATACTGTCTACAATCACTTGATTGTCAAGGGATTTATAAATAATTATTACAAATGGGTTTTCCATGGTGAGGATTTGCCATCAAGATTGAACGTCCATAGCGAGAGTGATGATGATGATGCACGTACTCATGATGATGTAGACGGATTACTACATGATATTTTTAGAGGCACAATAGAAGAGTTTTCAGATAACGATGAAGAAGGCATAAAGGAAGGCACAGAGGAATTGACCGAGGATGCTAAGAAATTTTACAAGTTAGTGGAAGAAGGCCAACAAGAGTTATTCCCAGGATGCAAAGCTTTTTCCAAACTCTCTTTCATAATTCGATTATATCTGCATAAGTGCATACATGGACTAAGCAATGAGGCATTTGATGATTCTCTGACCTTGTGGAGGGAAGCAATTCCAGACATAAAGTTGCCAAAGTCTTTTTATGAAGCCAAAAGGATTGTCAAGGACTTGGGTCTCGATTATGAAAAAATACATGCGTGCTCTAACGATTGTATGCTATTCTATGGAAATGTAAATGGGAAACTGAATAAGTGTAGTAGTTGTGGTGCTTCTCGGTGGAAGCCAACGAAGGATGATGTAGCAAATGATTCCAATCAACCATCTAAAAAGGTGCATAATGTTCCAGTAAAGGTTTTGAGGTACTTTCCTTTAAAACCTAGAGTTCAAAGACTATTTATGTGTTCTCAAACTGCTAAATCTATGAGTTGGCATTCTAAGGAGCGATCGAGGATGATATTCTAAGGCATCCGGCTGATGGCAAAGCTTGGAAAGACTTTGATGAAAAGCATCCAGAGTTCGCATTAGACCCTCGTAATGTGAGATTAGGGCTTGCTAGTGATGGATTTAACCCCTTTCGAACAATGAGTATTGCGCATAGTACATGGCCAGTTATCTTAATCAACTATAATTTACCGCCATGGATGTGCTTGAAGGCGGAATATTTCATGCTATCTCTACTTATTCCTGGTCCTCAATCCCCTGGCAACAACATTGACATATACTTGCAGCCACTGATTGATGAATTGAAAGAGTTGTGGGAAGTTGGATTGCATACATATGATGCTTCTATCAAACAATCATTTAAATTGTGTGTAGCTTTGCTTTGGACAGTTAGTGACTTTCCAGGATACACAATGTTGTCCGGATGGAGTACTAAAGGCAGGTTGGCTTGTCCTTATTGCAATTATAATACATGCTCTGGCTTTGGACAGTTAGTGACTTTCCAGGATACACAATGTTGTCCGGATGGAGTACTAAAGGCAGGTTGGCTTGTCCTTATTGCAATTATAATACATGCTCTGAGTATTTAAAATATAGCAAGAAGATGTGTTATATGGGTCATCGTAGATTTTTAAAAGATGACCACCCATGGCGATTTAATAAAAGATCGTTTAATGGTGACATTGAGCTTGGAAGAGAACCGATATCACTGTCTGGGACTGAAATTATAGATGAATTATCTGATTTTGTCAATGAATTTGGAAAAAAGCAAAAGAAAAGAGCAAATAGAAATTGTCCGTGGAAGAAAAGGTCGGTATTTTTTGATTTACCTTATTGGGAGCATAATAGATGTCGTCACATGCTAGATTTAATGCATATTGAGAAGAATGTTTGTGATAATATTGTTGGCACATTGTTAGGAGAAGAATGTTTGTGACAATATTGTTGGCACATTGTTAGACATTCCAGGAAAGACGAAGGATCATGTTAAAGCTCGCTTTGACTTACAACAAATGGGCATAAGACGAGATCTTCATCCTGTGCAGTCGGCTGATGGTCGGCGTGTTACATTTGCGAAAGCTTGCTTTTCTATGACAATACAGGAAAAAGAAATGTTTTGCAAAGTGTTGGCGGATGCAAAAGTGCCTCATGGTTGTGCATCAAATATCTCAAGATGTGTAAATGTGAGAGAGAAGAAAATATCTGGGTATAAGACTCATGATGCTCATTTTCTCATGCAATATTTACTTCAAGTTGCATTAAGAAGAAGTTTGCCTAGGAGTGTTGCTATTCCTCTCATCAGATTAGGTGCTTTCTTCAAGGGTTTATGCAGCAAAGTTCTCAAGCCAGTTGAACTTAAATCCTTGCAGTCTGAGATCGTAGAGATACTTTGTCAACTTGAGAAAATATTTCCACCAAGTTTCTTTGACATCATGGTTCATCTTCCTGTTCATTTAGTTCAACAAATTTTGGATTGTGGGCCAGTCAACTACTTCTGGATGTACCCAACAGAGAGATATCTTTGTAGATTAAAGTCATATGTGCGTAATAGAAGTGCTCCTGAAGGTTCCATAGCAGAAGGATATTTAGCTGAAGAGTCCCTAACTTTTTGCTCATTATATATGCATGATGGTGTCAAGACAAGATTTAATAGATACACAAGTATGTATGAGAGAGTTGATGTTGCAGAAGAGACATCGCCAATTTTTCCTAAGATAGGTCATCCATTGGGAGGAAAGAGGAAAAGAAAGGGCAAAGCATTTACATTAGATAATGTTGACTGGGTTAATGCACATCGATATGCCTTGTACAATTGTGATAACAATGAAGTGGATAATTACATACGGTATGATTCATTACTTAATTATTACTTCTTATTTAATGTTGTTGTCCATATTTCACTTTATAGACCTATGTATTTTGTATTGTTATGCAGTGAACATAAACTTTTGATTGAGAATCAGTCAAGAAAAAGAGGCAGAACAAATAAATGGACGGGAGCTCAAAAGCACAGCAAGGACTTCACTGACTGGTTTAAAACTAGAGTATCTGAGTTGGAATCAGCGCCTGATTATCTAAAATGGTTATCAATGGGTCCTAATTTTGTAGCAAAAAAATACAGAGGCTATTATGTGAATGGTTGTACTTTCCACATCAAGGCGCGTGATGAAACATGCAAAACTCAGAATAGTGGTGTGTCTGTAACCAGTCAAGTAGACAGTTATGCAAGTTCAAAGGACCATAATCCTAAAACTGGAAATGTTACTTTTTATGGCGTCATACAAGATATCATTGAAATAGACTATTGGGGCAAATTTAGTGTTGTGCTTTTCAAATGTGACTGGTTTCATTCAGAAGAAGATGAATATGGGCTTATCCGCGTCAATTTCAATAACAAAGGCCATATAAATGACCCTTTTGTCATGGCATGCCAAGTTCATCAAGTTTTCTATGTGAAGGATCCTGTTGAAGAGGCAAACAAGAATTGGCATTATGTTTTAAAGAAGCTTCCTAGTCATGTTTATGATATTGGTGCTACACATGGAGGTGACTATTGGGTTGAAAGTAGTGACATTGTCAGTGATTTAATCCCAACTAGTAATGATGACATAGATGATGTGGGTTGGTGTAGAGATGATGTGCCGAGGTCCACTGCTGACATTCCTCCAAATATATATATTGATGATGACAATATAATGGAAGGTGATGAAGACAGTGACTTTGATGAAACAGAGTGGGATTGGATGGAGTAAAGACACGGGACTTTCTGTATGTTTTGAAAGAAATGAGCTTTGAACTTTATGTTTTGAGTTTATGGGTTGAGTAGACTTTGTCATTTTCTTTTTGATTTGAGTATGAATTAGTAGTTTAAAGAACGCAGAACTTTTGCAAGATTACAGGTTATGATTTTGTAACTAACAATCATATTTGAAGGATTAACCTCTTCAAAATCCATGCACCTTCAATGTTTTTTGGATTCATCGTTAATCAGCAATAATGGGTGCTTTTACCATGTATATGCATGTACATATAATGTGTCTTAAAATTTATATCTGAAGTCATTCTCTGAACTTCGCATGTTAATCTGCTAAGAATGTTAATGGGTGCTTCTACCATGCATTGCTCATGTTATTAAAGGTAGGTTCATACAGATATGCACGCGTCTCAGAGTCAAATTTTAACTTTCTAGAGTCTTCACCCCCTCTAGACAAAAAATAATTTCTGGTCTCAACTACACTTGGTAGAAAAACAAGCAGGTCAATGACAGTCTTGCTGGTGAGTTTTCTTAACTAATCGAAATTACCTCTGTTGAGAATCAAATCTGTCAGAGAATCAGGTAGACTATTAATCAAACTAATAAAATACCTGGACAGGAAGATCAAAGAGTCCTTGTGTCCACAGAAAACCATAAATCATATATCATGAAATATATTTTTATTTCGCAAAGACAAACGCACAATTACAATGTCGATGAGCTTTAATCTGGAAATTTTTTGTTTATTTACAAAGTTCTTCTACAACGTAGCCTATACATTTTCAGTCTAATCTTTTTCCTCATATCCGCTTTTGCATAAGCATGTGTTTCTTTTGTCCTCTAACGTATCTTTTGTCCTCTAACGTATCTTTTGTCCTTGGAGTTACCAGGGAACAAACAAAAAAAACATGGAAGCAGAAAAAAATTATGTGTCAACCTCTTCAAAACAGAAGAGATCATTTGAGGTAAGTTGGGTTGAGTTTTTATTGTATATTCTAAGTTTCTTTCTCTAAATGTATTAATTTTTTTTCTTTTCCTTGTTTGTAGGTTACGAGCAAAAAATGTGAGCGTGGTGACAAAAAGAAGCCAAAAAGGATATTTTATCCTCCGAAACAGATTACAAATATGGCAACGACATGTCCACAAGTGCACCCAAAAGAACATAATCGGGTAAATAATATGGATAGTATGAGAAAGCATGCGCCCAATATATGTGAACCACCTGCTAGAAATATTGCAATACAAAGAAAAGAGTTAGAGGTGCAGACAAAGAAGAAAATGATCCGTATGAGACAATCAAGAGAGGAGAAAATGTTGGATGAAATAGAAAATGCGGAGCGAGATATTCGGAAAAAAATCATAGAGCAAAAGGGACAATTTAGTAAGGCACGACACCAACTTCACGATCATGCACAAATAAAGGTGATAGCAAGAGGAGAACACTCGGCCAACATAGAAGATGAAGAGGAAGATATTAGAGAGAATTTCATAGAAGATGCTGAAGGAGATGTTAGTGAACATGATGAGCAAGATGAAGAGGAAAATATTTGGGAGGATTCTATAAACGAGTCTAAAGGAGGTGAGGATTTAAGGGAACAACCAGCAAGACAGGTAGCCAATAAAGTGGTAGACAAACCCAAAAAATATCGAGGACAAACTAAATGTGAAAAAATTCATGCACGAAGTGTACATGAGCGACAAGTTATTTTTTTAAATGGGTTTGGACAACCTATCGGACCGTCAGATAAGGCATGCAGTGAACTTAGCAGTTTCTTAGGCACACTTGGAAGAAACTCAAGTTTTGCACCTCTGGATAAGGAAAATTGGCACAAAGTTGAAGAAAAAGATAAAGAAAAAATATGGGATTATGTTAAGGTATGATTTTTATAATTAATCGCTAATTTCCTGTTGTTCTTTCCCTCTTATTTATATCAAGTTTTTATGATCAAAAATTTTTATTGTCAATTGATGTTAATGTAGGAAAAATATGACATTCCAGAGGAAGGGAAAAAATGGACCTTAGAAACTGTCAATTATGCTTCACAACAAGCACTCTTCTCTATATTATCTGTTTCACGCATGTTTACAGGAAGCTTGGTGGTATTATGAGTAGTTAAGTTATAATAATAATATTTGATTAGGTTCACTTCTAAATTCACTTCTTAATTAGTGCTATGTATTTTTATTTAAAATTTTCTGTAAACCTTTTTCTTGTTATTCCTCAGAGGTAACTACAAATGATTGACTACCTAGAGTTGGGAAAATGTATAAACGTGGAAATACTATTCTAACAGGCTTTATCCCTATAAGCTTAAAATATTAGCAAGCTGAGTTAATAACTAGGATAAATAGTCTATTGTTAGTGTTCCTCATCTAATAAGATACTCGTGCATGATGCACCAGTAATTCACCAGTTCAGAAATCATATATATATTTTGCTCATAATGTATAATTCAGTGTGATTTCTAATTAAAGAATATATTTGAGTTCCTCAGATACATATAGGAACACAATAACATATCATTTGCTAATAAAAATATGTTTCAGATTGTGTTAAGAGTTGTCGAAGCATGGAAGAAGTCAGAAATGTTTACCTACCTGCTTTGTTAACTATGGACATTCAAGTAATACCAGAAGCTGCCATTTCTAAAGTAGGAAAGGAATTGGCAAAACTTTGTATAATATAGTATAGGTTTATGAATGTTAAGTTACACTAAACCCCCATGAACTTCCAGTGTTCTGCAGTATTAATTAGTAATAATCAGAGTGGGTTTAAAAGAAGTATGTGAGCATTCCCCATTATTATAGCAATCAGGATTATAAGATATGTGCTTGATTCTTGAAATTTGTTTTTTTCTTTCTTTTGCACTGAAAGCTATTAGGCGATGGCAATTCCTGTTACAAACTTCATGCACATACGAAACTCAAGTTGACACTAATAAAAAGAGGAATAAGTTACATATTTATTGTATTAATTATCTAATACAGGACTGTGGTTATAGGACTTACATACAAGAGTTACCCATGTCTCTTCCGGTGTCTCTCATGTTACTGCAGTTATAGGACTTACATACAAGAGAGGCTGATATCTACTGTTTCATTCATTACCCGAATATTACAATCTAAAATCAATTGTCAATATTCAAATGTTGCGACATAATCTCAGTGATGCGTTATAACCCGATGCATGCGACAAATTTTGCAAAATCCAGGTTTTGCTTTAGTCACTTGAGAGAAACAGGTCTTTTTTGTTCCTGCGGTTATAAATTTTATAAACGCCACAGGAAGTTGCAAAATAACAAATGCTCAATAAGGATCTAAATTCTCTCTCGTCTTTTCAAATCAACCGGTCCTAACATTTTTATAGCTTTAATTAAATAGAAATCCATCTTTTAAACATAACAACAAGCAATCTAAGTAATTAGCCATCCTTCAATACAGTGAAGCGACACAAGACACAATATACTCCTCACAAGAAACTCCTCAGGAACTCGATTATTTCTTTCGTCCCTGCATCTCCAAAGACAAGATCTTGCTCGAGTTGTCCAACATCCCTAAGTCCTAACTCTTTAATTATTTTGTTAATTTTTCCTGCAATCTGGATTCATACATATGGTGAACCAGACACAATGTTAGTATAAATTTATTTCTCACAGCTAGCTTGAGCAGCAATATACTATACTACACTGGGTGATAAGTGATAACAGTATAAATGTATTTTGTATATGTTGATTCTTTCTTCTATACTTTGAAAATATAAGCTGATAAAATCTATTGAAGCAGTGAAATAGACACGGAACAGCAGTGCTGCTAATGGTTTGGTTGTTTTTTAAATCCACGTTCCTTCTATATGTGTAGAAAACAAGTGAGACCAACAAAGCAAATCGTGAAGGTCTAGAATATATGCACACTACGGGGACAATAAGTTTTGCGAGGGTTCGCCAAAAAATGGTATTTCAATTTTTTTTAATGTTCCTTATTAACAGTATCCTTTCTTTTTGTTCGTTTTTAATGTATTTATCAATATTTTAACTATCATGTCTTTATTATAGGAAAATGAGTTGGGAAGACCTCCAAGTGAAGCTGAAATGTTTATTGAGACCCGTAAAAAGAAGATAAATCCACAAGGAGAGAAAACAATCAATTTGATAGTAAGAATGTGCCATATTTCCTAAATATTAATATTCATATATTGCTTTTTAAAAACAATCAATTTGATAGTAAGAATGTGCCATATTTCCTAAATATTAATATTCATATATTGCTTTTTAAGTCCTAATTTTCATATAACATGCATAGCAACTAAATATAAATTTTTCTAATGCAGGGTGCTTTAGAAGAACTCAAATCTCAAGATGAAGATGATGATGCATGGGATTTAGTCAAGAAAGATGAACATCCTGGACGTGTACGTCTTAGGGGGAGGGGTGTCACTAAAACCATGCTCCAGAATAAAAATAAAAAGATCATGGATCCCTCGGAGCAAGTTTCAGAATCTGTTGTTCAAACTATATCACAAAAAGTTGAGCAAGAGTTGACAAAAAAGTTTGAAGAGCAGAAGGCAGATTTGGTTCATGGTTTCGCTGAGCTTTTGACTGAAACACTTGGGCAAACAATTGATCCGGCGGCTATTGCAAGACTTATTGCACGCACAAGATCACCTGAGCAAGGTGGTAGTGCTCGAAATCATGATCATCCTCGCTCATCTGCAAGCAGCCATCAGCCACGAAATGAGGTAGTTTTTTCTTTTGTTATATCTTTCTTTTTCTTTTTTGTGTATTATGACAACTTGATTTGGATTGGTTGCTTCTTAGTTCGCCCGAAATGAGGTGTTATATACCTAAATATGATCGTCATGCAATAAGTTATGACTCTAAAGAGACACATACAGTCCATTTCATGCAATAAGTTATGACTCTAATGACCTTTATCCTTCTATCATCCGTGTCTCTACTATTCTACTTGTGCTTACTCTTAATTTCATTATATAAGTCATGGTTTGATCTTGAATATAGGGCCTCCCATTAATTAAACCTCAGTATATGAGCATTCCCCATTAATGTATGTGAGTTCAGACCATCGTATCTCAGTACCATTCCCATCATCAAGTGCAAGCCCAAAACTTTAACAGCTATGAGCATTCCCCATTAGTTTCTTTCTAATTTCAACTTATCAATCCATCTAAGTCAGTATATTGTTATAACAGCTATGAGCATTCCCTTTTTCTCTCTCTATTATGCATCTGTGGTCTCTTGTGATTTAAAGCTACCTGTACTAATATTCTCACATATATACTGTACATACACTTATTCTGTCATATTGTTATACTAATAAAAATCTATATGGAGCTAGGTGGAGATCTAGATATGATATACAAGGCATTCGTGTCTCTTCTATTCTACTTGTGCTTACTCTTAATTTCATTATATAAGTCATGGTTTGATCTTGAATATAGGGCCTCGATCCCATTAATTAAACCTCAGTTTGATCTTGATAATTTCTATGTTGTAAATGACTTGATAACTTTATACATTTACTTTGAAGGGTTTAATACTTGTGCTTACTCATCTTTTTATCTTGATGTACGCAGGAAAACATCTGAAGATCCATGCTTGTCACTCTTTAGGGGATTTATTTGTTGTGAAGATTTAGAACTTAATCGTCTCAATAGAGACATTTTGACATTTTGATTAAGTAGTAGCTCTTTGTTTTAATCATGGAGGATTTGTGATATGTGCTTAATTTGGTAAGTTTGTATGTAAAACTTGTGAAGAATTATCTCAATCCTATTGCTATAATATTGTTCTTCGTTGTAACGAATTGTTCATTATATTAAGGCTAAAGTTTGGTTAGTTTGTGTGTAAAACTTGGACTATTGTTTCTTTGTATGTGAGGGACTGATGTGTGATATCTGGGTGATTTGTTTTGATCAGTAAAAATTGAAACCGTCCCCTTTGGTATAAAAATCATCCTCATAGATCACAAACAAAACCGTTCCCATAGACAATATAACTGTCCTCTTAGGTCAAGCTCGAAACCGTCCCCCTTGGTATAAAAACCGTCCCCATAGAAACCGTTCCCCTTGCTATCAAATTGTTCCCATTGCTTAGAACCTAAAAACCGTTCCCCTTGCTATCAAACCGTTCCCGTTGCTTAGAACCTAAAAACCGTTCCCCTTGATATACAACCGTTCCACTTGCTCTAAACTAAGAACCGACCCCTTAGCACAACCGTTCCCTTATGGTACTATTGGGGACGGTTTACAAATCGTTGCACTAGGAGCATAAACCGTCCCATTAGACCTACGGGCACGGCTGCAAACGAGACGGATGTAGAACCGTCCCCATAGACCTAGTGTGACGGTTTCCATGCCTAAGGTGACGGTTCCGAACCGTCCCCATAGGCCTCAAATGTGGTAGTGTTAGTATTTCCTGGGATTTGGCTAATGATAGACATGGCTAGATCTAGAAACAACGATAATACAGAAAATTTAAGTACCAACCAAATCCAAATCGCATGCCATCATCCCCACAACAATCAAACATCAAAGGAACAGAACCCTAACCTAATGAACAAAAACAAATCGAAAAATAGATCGAGAAGGAAACTCACAATCAGTAAATTAGTTGAATTTGAGCAGGGAGCAAGAATCCAAACCCTTCTTCTCCTAGGCGGATCAAAGAGCGAAATAGAGAAGAAGAATCGATGGCAGAAGGTTTTTCACGCTGGAAAAGAAAGAGGGTTTTTTTTTGGGTTCGGTTGGCCTATTTAAAGGGGCAAAAACGGAAGAATTATAATTGACAGCTTCTTCCCAATCCTAAACGCTACTTGAGATAGCTTTTCAAAAGCTACTTGCAAAAGGCACAATCTCTTAGATAAGCCCCTCTTATTTTTTGTCACCAAACAGCTCTACTAGCTTATTGACCAACTCAATAAGCCACAAGCTCTTAGATAAGCCAATTTTTTTGGTTGCCAAACAGGGCCTTAATAGAACAAATGAAGGGGTTTCAACATACCAAGATCCCAAACTTGGAACTTAATGTTGTTGCACTGCACAGTTCCCACATTGAACTCAATCACTGAAAATTACAACAACAAAAAACAAATTAATTATTCAAGCCTACTCGTATCAAATGAGGAGAGAGAGAGAGAGTGAGAAATAAGAGCAGAAATTGAGCTACTTGGAATCGTTGACACCACTTCCCCCATCTGAAGCCTATCTGTGAATCAAAACCAAAACACAAATTAATCCCTCAAAATTAAAAAAAAATTAAAAAATTTAATGAGAAAGAAATTGGAAGAGGGAGAGTACAGAGGATCGTGGCTTTTCCGGCATTATCGAGGCCGAGAATGAGGATCCGAGCCTCCTTATTGCCGAAGATAGAAGAGAGCATCCGCGTGAAGAGGATCCCCATTAGATCTGATCCGATAAGAGCTTCTCGGATCTTTAGCCGATAACGGATCCGGATCTGGGTCCGCGTAAAGAGCTTGAGATCACTGGGGATTTTTATTTGGGGAAGAAGTTGGGGAAGAAGTTGAGCAAGCTTGGGGATCCGGATTTTCTCTCAGTGGGTTTGTGTGACTTAGAGAGTGAGGTTTCATTGTGTTCTTATCCATATTAGAGAACAAATTATTGTATAGAGCTTTTATTATGAGATACACTTTGTAATACATTTGTACACCGAGAGGAGTGTGTGGTGAGAGACGGGGTCGTCCCAAGAGGAGTGGGGTAGGTGGTAATGCCTAGAGGTAGGTTGTAATTCCTAACACTTGAGGGAGACACAGGCTAGATACCAACACTTAGAGGGTGTAAAGTGAGATTGCAAGAGTGTAATTTATCTGTTGTGTTATCGATACTATTATGTATCATTTTTTAATAATACATGGTATTATTATTATTATTATGAATATTTTTGTATAATACGTTGTATTATTAATTATGTATTATTTGTTGTATTATTTCTACTATTACATATTATCTGTCGTATTAGTATAACTAGTACGTTTTACTGTGTATATAATTGTCCCATAATTATTTGATTTTAAATGTAAGTAAATATATTTTTATTATTAATTATTCTCGTTTAATTGTACAATATGTGTATATATCGACTATTTTGTATTCACTATTGTATTAGCACAACATGTACGTTTTTAATTATAGATAATTATTACATAATTAGTTTAATTTTTAAATACCTAATAGTATTTATTTTAATTATTTTAACCGTAACCCTAAACCCTAATATAAATATATATATATATTATATATCTTCTCTCTCTCGTTCTTCTTCTAAACACCGCCGCCGCCTCAATATCATCTTCTCTCCTCGGCCCCTGACCTCAGACCGCCAACCCAAGCCTTGTCGGCCCCTTGCCACCCGCTCGCCAAGTCGCCGCCCTCCTAGCCACCCCCCACGCCCCATCTCGTCGCACCAGATCTCCAGCTCCGCCCTGAGCTCCTCCAGCCCCTCGTCGTCACGCTACCTCAGCCCAGCACTGCGCCGAGCTCCACTCCATCGCCAGCGCCCCCTGAACCCCGACCACACCTGTCGGCCATTCTCGCGCCGCAGCGCAGTCCCTCGCTCTCGCGACGACGTGCGTCGACAAGCACAGCCACTCGCCCCTCGTCCCGTTGCTCCGATCTTCTCCGATGAACTCCGAGCTCTGCCCATCACGTCGATCAATAGTGACGCCACCTGCCTCAGATCCGAGCACAACTCCCTACAGTTGTCACCCTTCAACTTCAGATTCGTCGACTCTCCAGATCCGCTCCTTCAGATATGCTCCAGCCGACGCTTGCTGAGAAACCGTCGTCATCAGACCCCACGGTCTCACAGGCAAGATCCCGCTTCTCTTGATTTGATATTCTATTATTTATATCTGTTAGTAATTGATTTCATAGATTAGACTATGATATGTAATTACCTGCGTGAGTTTGTTGATGAACGATATTGATTACGAGATGCTTTTAATAAAAAGAATATTTTAGATTTATTTTAAAATTATTATTATAAGAAAAAAGTTGATTTTGAAAAAGGGGTTAGTTTTGAATTAATATAATGAGAAAGAATTTTTTTAAAAGAATTTTTGGAATTAATAAATTTATGATTATGACGATTGGAAATTGCGAGATTTCATGCGTAATTATTTGATAGTTGTAGTTCCATCTTGCACTGTTATTAGTAGTTGTTCACGTTTCCTGTTCATGATTCATGACATTTTTACATAGTATTCGTTGCATTTATACATTATTATTGTTGAGAATCGCGAGTATTGCTTGACTATAGTGACCCGTGAGATATGAGTTGTTGACTTGGACTTGGGATGGGAAGGTCTGGGTTCATGTTATCAGACCCGTGAGATATGAGTTGTTGACTTGGACTTGGGATGGGAAGGTCTGGGTTCATGTTATCAGATATGTTTGTTGTTTATTTCCAGGCTCGCACCATGACTTGGGATGGGAAGGTCTGGGTTCATGTTATCAGATATGTTTGTTGTTTATTTCCAGGCTCGCACCAGTGAATCGTTTCGCACTGGGGTGGGTCTGAGGAGCTGTGATCGGATGTGTATTGTTTATTTCCAGGCTCGCACCAGTGAATCGTTTCGCACTGGGGCGGGTCTGAGGTACTAGTGAGATGTGATTGTTAACTTGATATCCGATAATGTGAACTTTGACTCTGTGTGAGATGTGAACCAGTGACCTGTTATAGGATGACTAGTTACATGACTCGTTTCTTGGTTAAGTATGAGTTCTTGTGAGATATAGGCTAGTTGTGTTTCTTTTTATACATAGATCGGGATTAATATTTAATTATTTACAATTCGAGACATATGGTATATACATGAGGGTTTCTTTGTTTGGATTATTTCGCTCGACGTACTACGTCTTGAGTTGTAGATTTTTAAGTATTAATTCCATCTAGTGTATGATCCTGTTACTTGGATGATTAGACTGATCGCTAGCTGCATGATCTCGTTACCTGATCGATTTTGGATGCTTTACGTTTATCATGTTTTAGTAGTGTTTTCGCATGTTGATTTTGTCAGATTTCCAGTTGCACGTTCTTTTGTCATTTCTGTTATCGTATCGTTTTCTGCTTGGGTTTTCGTTCGCTCTATTTTTTGTGGGGTCTTGTCGTGTGCCATACACGCTGACGTACACCTGTTTTTTCTGGTATATGTCAGACTTAGAGGAAGAACAGGTCCAGCTGGGAGATCGCCAGGAGCCAGAGGATTCTCAGCAAAGTGTCTTGCAGACGTAGCAGAAGAAGAAGCCGAAGCTTAGTCATTCCTCTTAGTTTGTTTTGTAGCACCTTCATTTCCTTTTGATCAGTGTATTTTTATATTCTCCAGTATTTTATTCAGATAGTTTTTGTATAAGGGCACGTTTGACCCGTATTATTATGTCTTGGATGTTATCCCATTCATGATATGATATTTTTATTCTGAGTTTGTCTATTATATTCTTGCTTATTGTGATCGGGGACCTATGACTTCGCATTGTATTTATTTCCAGATGCTTAGCGTATTGGATTAAGAAAAAAAATAAAAGAAAAAAATAATAGTGTATATTTCTTCTCAATCTAATACGTCGCGGGCTTGTTCACGTTCCGATTCCCGGGT